TTTTTTTAACACTTTTGTTTTTTTCTATTTTTCTATTTTTTTAGCAGATGAAACAGCAAGATGAGAGAGGATCGATAGATTGTATGCTTTTTACGGTTTACTACGAATTATACAAGAGAGAGAGAAAGAGAGCATAAGAAATACACATGTGAAATGGGGGACGTTCAATTATCGGGATCAAGAGGGGAAGGTCGGAGTTTTATTAGACCCGGTGTACTCGATTTGGTGCGATATTGCGAAGCCAATAATGTCAATATTTACGCGCTTGAACGTGAAACGTTATAGCCAATAACCCAATTTGCTACGATGTCGCACCACAGTGTACGTATACGGAGACCCCCCGATGAGTAATACGATCGGCAATCGGCACCGCTGGGACAAAAGTAACCCAGTAAAAAATCTTCAACCCCCCACTGGACGAGCCAACGGTGCCGATAACCGATATCTCGGTTGAACGTTCGATACCATACCTAGAGGCGTTGACGTAGCAGACGAGGGCGTCTTTGGGCTGGCTGTGGCTCTCGTACAGTATCCCGAGATTCGTCCACGCCGCCGAGTGCGTTTTGTCTAGCTGTACCGCGCAGACGTACGCCTGAAGGGCGTCCAGGGGCTGGTTCTGCTGCTGGTACAGTATACCTATGCTACACCAGGTATCCGCGTTCCCCTCAGACTTTTCCACCGAGTTTCTGCCGGGAAACATGACAATTGTCCAATTATTAAAAAAAAAAAAAGGGAACTTCTTTTCTTTTTCATGCGGATCTTGCTCAATAATAACGCGATCGTTTTTGACACACTAGCAAGACTTTTTTTTTTTTTTTAAAAAAAAAAATTGAATCTCAAGAAATCTTAAATATTTTTATGTTTATTATGATGCACGAATTTCGAATTTTTAAATTGAGTTTTTGCTTGTCAGGACTTGTATTTTTTCGCCGCAAAATGACTTGTATTTTTGCTGTAGCAAGACTTTTTTTTTTTTTTTTTTTTTTCTGAAAATAAAAAAAAAAAAAAAAAAAAAAACAATGTAATGTTAAAGATACAAATGATGATTTAGCGAGTAGGTACTCGTACGACGAACCTCAAATTCTTGGTAGACNTTTTTCTTTTTTGTGGCCTCAACGAAAGATAAAAAAAAGTGTGCCCGGAGCAGAGTCATCGTCATCAGAGTATATGTATGTACTTACGCGTGCTTACTCAGATTAGGCGTATCGTTTTGCGACAAGACCGATTTTTTTTTTTTTGCCTCTGATATCATATGCTTCGCGCGATTACAAGTTTCGTGTACGGTTCGCAGAAGTTTTCAACGTAAAACCGTCAGATCACGGTTTTCGTGTACATTATCGTAATATTATCATTACAAGGCAGACGACGACGCGAGCAATATTAAAAAAAAAACTCGAAAGTAAAGTGGAGTAGATGTAAATTTCTAGCAAGATCGGCCGAGACAAACCGGTATGACGAACATAAGAGTACTTGCTCGCAATGGTTATGTATTTTTGTTGATTAATTCTCGCGTCACGTAAAAAGCAAGCGACTCACCTGTAGGCGATGAAGGCATCGTGAACTTGTCCGTTGGCCGCCAAGCAGCGCCCGAGGAGATAGAGACTCTGGCCGGACTTGGGCTCGGCCTCGATCGACCTCTGCAGACAGTGGATGGCGATCGCTTGTTTCTGCTGACGAGTCACGCCCAGTATGTTGCAGTCAATGACATGGTACATCCATCCTGAAACGAGGAATTAAAAAAAAAACCAATTCTCAAAAGATATTCGCAAATTTCACGTAAAGGTCTCGGGATGTTTTTGTCTCTATAGGCGCAGGAAGGAGTACCGATTCTGGGTGTTACAGAGGGAGTTTCAACGGTAGATAGTATAGCTTGTACCATTGTGCTCGCGTATTGCAGTGGCATTTGAAATTTCCCGAATGATCCGAGCGCACGCGACCAACCGATTTCCAGCGACTCGCTTTCGCGATCGTCGATTCAATTGTTTTTTCCGGAAAATGCCCGTGTACCTACTTTGAATTAGAAATCGTCCAAGCCAACGACACACGCGTCCACCTATGTGTGTACCTCGGAGCGAACTTTCTCATGTAGAATATTGTTCAACCGTGTACCACCACCACCGCCGCCTCCACCGCGACCGTCTACGGTAACAGAAAACAGCTGAGAACATCTGCCGGTGTCTCTCTCGCTCGCTCCCCCATCCGTAAAACTCTTCTGCATTTCCTTCAAACACTACTCTGTACGCGCACACACAAGACCTGAAAATTGTATGGAAAAAAAAAACCTCTCTCTACGCTGTATACAGCAATGAAAAATCTTGACGAACCTCGTCACACGACGACTTGTCGCCTATATACAAGAGGTACACGTATACAGCACTGCACGTCCTCTCGCTGCCAGCTCTCATCTCCGACTCGATGGAAAAAAAAGCTCCAACCGGCATCTGTACATCCTTATTTCGTTCACTTTGAACTTTCATCTCTCATCCACGCACACTTTGGACACACACCGTGATAAAACGCTCACCTCCACTTCCACTGTTTTAAATCCACGCACGTACCAACCCAGAGAAAGGGAGAGAGAGAGAGAGAGCTACTTTTGATTGTATTACAGGACCCGGAAGACGCCGCGGTAACAAACTATTAAGTTCTCACAGCCGTGCGCGCACTACTTTACTCGTACGTGTATGCACCGTGGATGGGCCAAAGCGAGCTGCTCGCGTCCGGTTTTTCCTCGAGTTATAGGAGCAACCCCCTAGTGCAGTCACGTAGGCCACCGCTCCTGCAGCAGCAGGCGTTTTATTTTACCCGAGAGTTGGCCATACGTGTAAGGGAAGATTTGGGGCGCTTGGGAGGGAGGGAGGGGGGGGGAGAGAAACGTAGAGAAGGGAGAGGAGCGTATAGAGCTAGAACCGACTCGCCCCGATAGACGACGGCCTAGCGACTGAATAGATTTTCGCAGGTATACGAGCACCCGAGTCTTGTATATATGTGTGTACGAGAGTCGGCCTGCTACGTCATGGGGCCCCGATGTATATATTATAAGGGACAGGGTGACTGCTGCTGCTGTACGCTTTTCCCCACCACCACTACCACCATCGAAGCCACGGGTCTCTCCCTTTTTCTAGCCTCCTCCTCCTCCTTTTTTTTTTTTTTCCTTCCCATTCTCCCTTTTTTCTCGCAGCTTTTTTTTTCGAGCCTTTAGCAGTCGTCCATGCAGATGCCCTCGTACTTACACCCATACCGATCTCGTATACAAATATACACGATACTCCCACATCAACAGCACGAGAGAGGTGCAGTTTAACCCACGTCCTCTCTCTTTTTTTTTTTTTTTTTTTTTTTGGGTCGTGTGTGCGTGTCCTTGCTGTATTGTACTATTTTTCTCCCCCTTGTATGCTCTTTAGTTTACCCACACTGTAGGGACTCAGCCTCTCTTTCTCTCGATGTACATAAAATAAGAGTGTGATAGTGCAGCTTGCCCATGGGGACCCAGGACGATGACACGTGCACCTATACGCAGCTTATATACAGAGAGAGTTAAGGCTCCTCTGCCAACCGGAGCGCTTACATATATTTATAATCCGTGACCACCCCCCCCCTTCCCCAATAAGCCCGCTTTTCCGTAAGTTTTATTGGGGAGGTAATTTTCTTTTTCGCCACAAGTGCCACCGTACAGTCCCCTTCCATAAAACTGAAACCGATACTCTTTTGTCGATCTCTCCTATAGATCGTTAGTGTTTATGTTATATACCAGTAGTGGGATTTTTGTTTCTTCCCTTTTCTTCTTTCTTTTTCGTATCGGTATAAATATATACGCGCTTAAAAAGCACACCTCGTTTACCCAAGTGTTTAACCTGTTATACCTACCTTGAATTTGGAGGAAAGAAGCGCGGGATCGATCGTCACGCGTATATATAATTTTCCAGCTTTCCAAAGGCAAAGCCACGCCCACGCTTATTGGAAATATATACATTGTGGGTGCGTATACATAGGTATAATACATAATATACATATACACCCATGTAAATCTCGCAATCTCTCCTCTCTGGTGTGGCTTTTCTTCGCCTTGCCTCCTCCAAACGCATCTCCCTCGTTCGTACGCGAGTTTTTTTTTTTTTTTTTCTGTTCACATGCAGTACTAGTTGTTGTCTCCCTTTCTTTTTTTTTCCCCTCGGCAATCTCGAATGACAACCCCCTCCTTGCACACGAGCGCGATAAAAATAAAACCTCGGCGCACGGGTATATAAGTATACGTAAGTAGGATCCGACGTGTGTGTGCTCGCAACAGGAGCGGCCTGCAGAGAGAGAGAGAGAGAGAGAGAGAGAGAGAGAAGGAAAGGAAAGGGAGAGAGGACGGACGCAAGAAGCGGTAGCAGAAGCGTGGGACAGCTCGGATGATGATGCTGCGCGCGTACAGAAGAGGCTATATGTACTTCTTGTGTGTAATGCGTGTATGTATGTAAGAGCACAGGGATGAGCTTGGCCGACGCGACGCGAGAGGGAGGAGAAAAACCGGCTGATGAATTAGGATAACTCGGTGGGACGAAAACGCGACTTGAATTACGTATATGACGTATATATAAATTATGTATACCTACGTGCTCGCGTGGCAGGATAATATATACACTTACCCGTGTGTACGTATAAGGGATGAGAACAATTAGCAGGAAGGACGACGCGACGCTCGTGGTGGTGCTCGAGACTGTCGCGTGTACATGCTGGGGGTGGATGTCCTTGTTACCCGGATTGCAAAGACAAAGGCTGAATTCGCAATCGCCGGCTGATTTTCTTCTCATTATACCGCGTGAATACAGTGTCGCGATGAGATACGGAGGGTTTTTATACATGTATATGTACGTCTGACCTATCCGAGAGTCTGTACAGTACCTTATGTACCTGTATATAGTAGATGATGAATATTAGCTACGCGTGGAAAAATAGAAAATTAAATCAGAGGCGCGGGAGGAAAGACATACCGTTAATGGGAGGCAGTATAGACGAGGTTACAACAATTTCGTCGCGTTGGCTCTAATCGAGCGAATCGAACGCCATACCTATATACCGCACATAATGAGCGCAAGGGTGCCTGTACGACGGGATGCATTGAAGGAAAAAAACGCGTAGCATGTGCCCAACGACTCCGTCCGATTGCTGACTCTTGGCAAACATTCCAGCTAACGAGGGTTCATTTTTTTTTTTTTTTTTTATAGGTGGAGTCGAACTTTGAGAGTCACGTAACACATCGAGGATGAAATTATTACGAGATAGTCGGTTCCATCGCAAAATCCGACTTTGCAGAGACCAATAGACCAGCAATACGTTCGCACGCAAAGGGGACGCGTACAACAAAAAACGAGTCTCGCTCTCCACGTGTAGTATATAGCACACGTGCGAGTTTTCCCTGTGTACGTATATAGGTATGCGTTCATGTGCTCCTGAAAAAAAAAAAAAAAAAAAAAAACAATGTAATGTGCTTCCGACCTGCCGGCGGCTCTTTGGTACACCTGGAGCACTGCACAGCTTCCATCGGGCTCCGGTTATTACACACACGTACGCACCCATCCGACCCCCTCGAAACCTTTTTTTTCCTCTCCCTCTCTGTGTACACACGCTGTGTTGCTATATCTCTTTGCTCTCGTTGTTTATACCGCGCGTGGCCTGAATTTCATAGACATTACAGGTACCATACCAACACTCGAGATTATTTTTTTTATTTTTCCCGATGGAATCTGTCGCGCGGCTATTTTTCATTTGGAATAAAGTATTTTACAGGCCGCTGACGAACGTACACAAAAACAATGAAATCCGTTTACGCAACAATTACGAGTTGGGTGCAGTAAGCGCGCGCCAAAGGATCTCCTCGCTAATTAGCCACCAATGCTGTTACACACCAAAAGGTAATTAGGCTATCAGTGACATGAAAAAAAAGTCCGTTTTCGAGCGGAGTAAAGAAAAAAAAAAAGTCGCACGACACGAGGTAACGTAGCCATAGAAAGAAAAAAAATGTGTCAAGCGACTCTCCAAGCCTCGACTGCGAGTCAGAGATTTTTCGCTAGCTCCTCTAGTTTTTTTTTTCTCCCCCGTGATCGAGCGACCGCCCGCGTGTGCTATACGGCCGATCGTTTTGGGGAGAGGAGGAAACGCGTTAAAACAGCAGGAGACGGGTGTGTTGGGACTCCATGGGCGTCAGCGCCGACCAGAGCTGTCGAAACGTCCTGTGCATAAGCTACGGTGAAAGTTTACGTCCGATGCTGCTCGGAAAATTATGGCCCGTTGGTATTTAACTATATACCTACGCCCGAGGAAAATTGAGTGAGGCTCCTCCTGCTTTTCTTTTTTGGGTTGGCTCTGGCTCGTAAATTTTCTCCCGAAGGAGCCGTAAATCCCTTTGGTGTTGAAGAAATATGAGCTACGGCATTGTAGTTTTCGCCGTTGCGTTGCCATTTAAATGTACACACACATTACAAGTAAGTATAATTATTATTATTATTATTATTATCGTGTTGTGACTCGAGACTTTTGTAATTTACAGACGCGTGACACAACGCATCCGTGGACAAAAATTTTTTCGTTCAATTGGCTATGTACGCATCATCATCAGTGAACAACCTATACCTATGCGTTGGATTCAAGTATAGCGTTGTCATGAAATTTATCGAACCCTAAAAATACAATGTGCCATGCGCAAGTGCAGCAACAAAATCACCGCAATGCCTTGTT